TTTTTTTTTTTTTTTTTTTTTTTTAACCAGCAGGTCTGACGGTTGGCTTCCGGCGCACAGAATGCCAGGAGAAGAAACAGCAACACCTCTGAAAGCGGATGCTTTTTGCCTACCTGGTATCTGTCTAGCAGGTGGCAAAAAATGGGCTGTGGTAGGCCCAATCTCTAAACCCAGAGACCTTGTCGGGTTGCCCCGCTTGCTCTGGCCCTAGCCCAAGAATGCATGATCTCTCGCGGCTTGGACGCGCGAGCTTTAGGACTGCAGGTCAGGCCGGGAGAGATGAATCCTTTCTCTCTGCATCTGGCTGCAGGCCCTCAATTTTATCTCCTTTGGTGGGGCTTTGCAACAGTAACAATCAAAAGGAAGATCGAGGGTTTGTTGATAAGACAAAGTTGACTCCTTTTTCATCTGCCCCCAGGTTTTAAAAATACTTTCTCATTTGATAATTTTGGGACAGGTTGTCCTGGCGTGAGAACCGGGCACAGCACTTCTCGGAGCCGCCCTCCTACATGTCTGCTGAATTCTCACTATAGCGGAGAACAGCCACAGAACAATTCTCTTTACTGCAATCAGAATCAAACCGCCTTTAAAAATATCCCGCAAGCAAATCTCTTGGTTAGAATTTGGTTTCCTATCCAAATGGTATTTATTCCTCGAGGATCCAAGGTGATGTCTTAGTGACGAGGAATACATCATTTTTTACTCCTCTTTCTCTGTGTGAAAAAAAAATGTATATTTAAACTAGATGCCAACTGACACATTCACACGCATTAGAATTTCTTCGTCGCCTGCTTCCGGAGAGGACGCGAAGGGGTTAACTTCTGGTCTGTTGTTTCCATTCTGTCTCCGCCTCCCACCCCCGCGTCCCCCTCCCGCGGGACCTCTGGGATTGGTTGGCACTCTGCCATCAGGCTGTCAATCATTGAGTGTAAACAAGGCGCTGATTGGCTGTTGTCCAGTCCGCAATGGGCCTCCTGAAAAAAGCAATTACTGCCTCCGCGGTTTCAAGGCGGCCCAAGGCCGCTTGATGAAAGGAGATAAGCTGGGGACAGTTTCCAGGATCCCCGCGGGCCGACCGGGGCTGCCCGGGAGCGGAGGTGCGGCGGAGAGTCCGAGGATCAAAGGAATCCACAGAGAAAAGGGAAGCGGGCGGACATCCTGGCTAGCCTGGCCCCCCGCGGGCTGCGCTGACCTGAGGTAGGGGCCGCGGGCGGGGACGCCGGGATTTCCCTCCCGTC